TTATTTGACACTCATCAATCACTATAATCGTTGTCGGCAATTCTACAGGGCCGAGTAAGTGCACAAGGGCTAAATTCCTTTCTTCTGGGAAACGGGAAGGTCGTGTTGCCCAAGCAACACCTTCCCCCTCTTGCCTCCCGTAGGTAGTCGACGCCAGCATACTTTTCTTTCGAGTTCGACAATGGTTCAAGTTATTCCTCGCGGATTGCCAATTGTCGTTTCCCGTATCTATCAAGAGACGGTTTGGTAGTTCAAGCTAGGTCCTCGCGGATCGCTATCGCCGTCTCCCTCTCCTATTTTCCCCTTTTAACTTAACTTTGTGAACATAAAACACAAAATGAAAAAAAGACGAAAATAACGAAAATTCGACCTTAAAAACTGCAAATCATAAAACAAAAATCGGCTAATAGCATTTAACACCTTCTCTTCTCTGTTGTTTTCCCTCTCTCACTATCTGGCCAATTATGTGTTAATCTGGTTCACGATATCTGAAACGGCAACGAAGGAGGCCCTGCTGCAGAAACGGTCACCTTCGGAAGCCATTGAAAAACATCATCGGAGGATCGCCAGAATCCTGGAGAGCAGGATGCTCGTCAGAGCAGGTATTAAGCTGCCCCAGGACGTGGATGGGCGCCGCCTGCCAGGACGCCCGGAGATCCAGCGCAGATCAGGAACAGGTTCTCGCCGTCCCATGATGCTGTGGATGGGCGACGCCTGCCTGGATGCCACAGATCCAGTCAAACTCCAGGAGCTCGTTAGTGCAGGTATCAGCCGCCCTGCAATGTCGAAGAGGACGCTTCCTGCCGGACGCCCGTAGATCCTGACGAAGATTACGCGGACGTCTGTACGAGCGCACAGCCGAGAAGGACCTGGACGGAGATCTGTGAGACATGTTGGGCGAGTAAGCCTACGAGTTAGACCTGGACTCGGACTACGAGGAAGTCTGGGCGAATCCGAATCAAGGATGACCTGCGCGAGACCTTCGAGGACGTGAGGATGTCGAGGACGGACGGATTACCAGGGACCAAGGCGAGAATGACGACAAGGACGAGCAGCCACGGAGATGCACCAAGATACCGCACGCGAGGAGGAGCAAGTTAGGACCAGCCAGGTTGGGTCATCCTTGAGCAAAGTCTAGATCGCCTCGAGAACGAGCTGTTAGTAGGTGTCCGAGCAATATACCGGGTGGAAAGTGCGAAAAGCTGCCGGGTCTCCCTTGCAAACAGCTGCTCGTGACCGATCCTAGCTGGTGCCCCCCCCCCCTGCTTCCGGTGACCCGGGTACTTATACTCCAAAGATGACCCCTGTCAGGTAGAGTGTGCCCGCCGCTGCTGGCCCAAGGGTCGGGGCCTGTCCGCCTCAGGTCAGGGCTGACCGTCCCCTCACCGTTGACCGCGCGCTACCCAAGATTCTCGTCGTTGTGTTAAACTTAATCCGTGTGCTGAACTCTTAATAATAAAGAGTGTAAAGCCACCCAAGCTTTTTACTGTCTTGTCACCAATGTTTAGAGGTCTTCTCAAACCCTTTACAATTATTCTATTTTTTTAAATTTATTTTTCATAACATCTCTATCAGCCCGGGAGTACATTCGATATGCAACACGAAACCCAGGTAAAAAAGCTATCTATTAGTGAACACATAAAGACTGATCCCTTATAGAGAAGCAAATCTAAATAGATTGTAGGACGTCAACACACTAATCAGGCCAACATCGAAAGAAATAAAAACGATCATAAATACATTTGAGGACAAAACACCAGGAGAAAGTGGAATAAGAAAGATAGTTATGCCAAATCCCGGAAGCGATGATAGAAAAACTAAAAGAAATCTTCAACTGGTAACTTTTGCAGGGTTATTTCCCGGACAAATTTAAAGATGCATTAATAATTCTCATACCAAAAGCAGGGAAACGTCTAAGGAAAGTAAATAATTACCGACCAATCTCCTTATTGGAAAGTCCAGGAAAATATGTGAAATTATTAACAACCGTATTACAAGATATACGGGCAGAAGAAATCTCTTTCATATTCACCAGTATGGTTTCAGAAAAGGAAGAGGCACACAAGCAATTGGTGCCATATACTAAACCATCGCAACCTCTCAGCAGCGTAACACAGTTTGCAGAGACATTGCCAAAGGCTCTGACAAACTGTGGAAACCAAGGTTGCAATACAAAGCCTCTGCAACTCCGTAGACGAAAGAACAGCAACAATACGGCTCGACACAGTTGCAGGACCAAAATTCCCACAACTGGGCAGGGTGCCACAAGGATCAATATTATGCCCTACCCTTTTCCTATTTTACACGCAGACCTCAAAGTACCCAACATAGACTGGGTAGATATTAGCTTTGCTGATGATATAACTCAGTCATGTTATATCCATTAAAATCAAAGGAAATGCTAACTACAATAATTTTAAATTAAATTAAATGAATGCGCGATGGAAGATTAAATAAGAACAAATTTCAACCAAGGTAAGTAATTGTTGACCAAGAAACAATTTCATTCTGCAATTCTACAAAACAGAGCAGACCTATCCTGAAGTACCCAGCCATCCCTCTACAGCTACAAGCGGAAACGAAGACACCGAAATTTCAATATCAGAACTGCACGACAAATATAGAATCGAAGATATAAACAGAAGACTCTACGCTTAAAAAAAGACCAACGAACAACTACCAGAACTTCTGAGGAACAACACCCTAAAAATCCACACAGAAGAGACCACAGTTGATGGAGAAGAATCGCTCCATATTTGAAGAACGGACCACTAGATCCAGACTTTGCAGCAGTGTTGTAAAATAGACACAAAACACTGTATTGCTTTACCGTTAACAGCAAACAATGTACAAAGATTTTGAATGCATAAAATAATCTTAAGACCTGTATTATCTTTTGTTATGATAATAAAACAAAAGAAGCAGCAAGTGGGTTTGCTCCATGACTTTTTGATCTCTTGCTGGTTTATTTTCCAGTTTTCTTCGCACGAACTAGTTCGCCTTCCATCCTTTCCTATGGGGCTGAAAAAAAACGTATATTTAGTTGGTTCTCTGGTGTTTTCGTTACTCCTCTTTTGTAATTTCCAAGTAGCTTACAGAGGTATTATTTGATATTACCACAAAAATAACTTGCATCTCAAGTATGGCATTTCATTTTCATTTATTTGAATAGGAACTCTGGTTCCCTCCCTTCACTCTCACTTTCGGAATGTGACCTTTTCCAAAATTTTCTTTGTTTTTCCTTGACATCATGATGATTTGAACAAGGGCAGTGCAGATGATGGCAAGCGAGGGGGTGTAGTACTGTGGGATACATTTTCCCCAGCGGTTGTTTGAGCGGCTCCTCCTTCCCATATCTGCATTTCTGCGGTTTGGTATTGGAGATTACCATGAGATGATAATGTGCTACTGCCACGAATCCTTCTGTCCACAACAGAAACCTGTTGACCTTGTTCTGGTAGGAGGTAAAGGGTGTTGCCTGTTGCTACATTGGACTAAAGTTATGTCGTCTGAGAGTGTAGTTGTCCTCTGTCAAAGGGAAAGTTCCCGATGAGAGAGAGCAAAATTGAGGGTCCCTGATGCTATCCGAAATACAACAAAAAACATATTCATACTTCAAAGGTTACATTTTGTTTTTATACGCCTGGAAGTACCACTTCAAAATTAGTAAGCACATGTACAATACATATACGGTACACATTATGCGAATGTAGGTTATATAGCTAAATTTCTTCAGCCGAACCAAAAGCAAAGAAAATTTTATTTTTTTCTCACATGTAAAAATCTTTCATTTTATATATGGTGATCTCTCTCCCTCTCCCCCCTCTCTCTCCCCCTCTCTATTTCTGCCTTTCTCTCTCTCTCTCTCTCTCTCTCTCTCTCTCTCTCTCTCTCTCTCTCTCTCTCCCTCTCTCTGTCTCTCTCCCCCCCTCTCCCTCTCTATTTCTGCCTTTCTCTCTCTCTCTCTCTCTCTCTCTCTCTCTCTCTCTCTCTCTCTCTCTCTCTCTCTCTCTCTCTCTCTCTCTCTCTCTCTCTCTCTCCCCCTCTCTATTTCTGCCTCTCTCTCTCTCTCTCTCTTCTCTCTCTCTCTCTCTCTCTCTCTCTCTCTCTCTCTCTCTCTCTCTCTATATATATATATATATATATATATATATATATATATATATATATATACTCTCTCTCTCTCTCTCTCTCTCTCTCTCTCTCTCTCTCTCTCTCTCTCTCTCTCTCTCTCTCTCTCTCTCTCTCTCTCTCTCTCTCTCTCTCCCACCCTTTCTCTGTCTCTCTTTCTCTTTTTTTCTCTCTCTCAGTCGACAAGTCAGTGTTTTGACAGTCACATGCTGTTTTGATGTTCTGCAAAGATAATACTTCTGTACATTTGTTTTGGAAAGGTAATTTCTCCTTGGAAGTGGAAATAAAATATTGTCAGGTATGACCAAAATGTGGTGCTAATTATTATAGATAACTGAAACATTAATGGGAAATGGGCCCCATATATATCCGTTACTTTTTACGTTCTAAGAACACTGGCTATGCAGGCGCTTTGAAAATACGTTTACTGTATTAAAAAAACATTCCACAAGCGGAAAAGCCAGATGATGGGATAGCATCGTATAAACCAATTCCCTATATGATACTGTAATTCCTATTTGCATATACCGTGGGCTAAAACGAAAATGTTACCGAGATACCAATCTCCCATAATGATGTAGTTATCTGGAAGGGAAGTCCCAGAAATCAAGGCCTTGATCAAGTTCCAAGTCACGTTCCGCACCGCGTGATACGAACGACCTTGTGAACATTTCCCGTTCATCCAGTTCCTAAAGAGGATATTTATAAGCTAGCTATCGGGCCGTTCATAAATATTTATCAGGTCAATAATCTTTAGAGCTATACAAAAATCTATTGTTACATAAACTATTCTTATTTGTGTAGAATTAAGGCTTTTGAGATCCGAGAACAGCTGTTGAAATCGGTTTGCACGCGTGACCCCTGGGTGGAAGCGTCGGCAGTTTGTTTACAAGGAAACAATGGCGTCGACGCCTTCGAGGTTGTGAATATTCGTCAGTAGTTACCTTGCATTTAATCCGTATTCAGTGGTCTCTAAATAGTAAGTGTAGTTTCTACACTTATGGGGTATATTAATTAATTGTGCTAAATGTTGAATAAGGTATTGGATTCTGCCCGTAATTAATTTGCTCTGAACCTGGCCATGTCCGAGGAATGGCCTGCGGCAGCGCCAGGCCAGGCAGGTCCTCGTCGGGACATGTAAATTCAGGAGAGCCTTAATTTTGCTTCCGAGGAATGTTCCACTCAGTTCTAAGAAATGTATTGCGACTGATAGGGAGTAGATTCAAATTTGGAAGGAGGAGAATTTCAATGTTCCTTGCTGCTTGGGTTTCCTTTGTTTACAATGGTAGTAAATAGTTGTTCGGGAGTCATTGTTATCGGAAATTTCAAATGAGTCACACAAATGTGGATTGTCATATTAACTATGGAAATGTCAATGCAAGTCAGAACTTTAAATAAGTGAACTTTTATCTCATTTAATATGAGTCTATAGACATTTTTTCAGAGATATAATGTGAAGATATCTAAAATTAGAAAAATAAGGATTAAGCTGAAATCTGTTTTCATATCTGACATTTTCATTCTCATTTCTTTTCCCACATCCAGATGTGTAACTTCCTGCTAGTAAAAACAACTAGGCAAATATGATTGATCTTGTAATGCAGATGGAAATCTTATTTAATCTGAAATGATGGTAATTTTCACAATGTCTTCACATAACCAATTATAACAATTTTAGCATCAGTGGATTTCTTTCACTCTAGTACACTCACATGTAGGAATTATGTCACGGAAACCTCCCAGACCCCTGCATTCTTAGCCCCGATAGCAGGGTTGGGTACCAGGGAAATTGGTGGTTAAGATGTTAATAATATTCACAGAATTGGTTACTGTATTGTCAAATGCAGGGGGCTGTCCCCCCCATGGGAGGCTTACGTCACCAACCCCTACCTTAGAAAACAAAGAATCCTCTACATATTGTTGGGGTTGGAGGGCAGCTGTCCCCCAGGAGGGTGATTTCAGGGGGCTTAGCCCCTGCATTTGACTATATAGTGACTGTTTCTATGTATATTATTCATATTTTACCATGCAGTTTCCCTGGTACCTTTCATGCCCTCCCTTGCAATTGGGAGCAAGATTGTTGTTAATTGGGGGGAGGGGGGGTTTCTATGACACAATTTTGATATATTTGGATAGTAGAGAGTGAGAGGAATCCATTGATACCAAATTTGCTGCAATTGGTTATGAGAAGATATTGTGTAAATTTACCAAAATGATGAATATTTAATTTTAGGAATTTGAAAGTTAAAGTTAGCATTTTAGTATCCATATCTAAGATATTCTAAGATATTCGGGAACAGTATTTCTTGTGTGCAGGTGTTCTAAGAATTATTTAGCTAGTTTTAAATGGGGGATGAGACACTGATATGTACATATATGTATGGTAAATATGTAATTGTATTATAGACACTCTAGAATTTTAGTGAATGTTTAAAAGACCCTAATATTGGCTTTCAAAATGGGAGTTATTTATTTAATCATAGTGGTTATTTTCTGTCAAAATCCATTTGAAACTTGGTATGATCTGTGATAAATGGCCAAACATATGAAGTCCAAGTTGATAGCAGTACAATGTTTAGAGATGAGCAGTCTTCCACACTTCACACTTTGGAGGAGGTTAATAAAGTTCCACTGCATATATTCTTGCTGATAGAGCTTGATTTGTTACTTAACATTAAATTACCAGAGAGGTCTGTCTTACTAGAATATATGTTGTAGAATATTGTTGGCCTTTGCCAGAGTACAGTGAGGTCTGGAGGGTTTATTAGTTGAGGGTGGCTGTCTTCTAAACATTTAATAGAAAATGTATTTGTAGTGCATAGATATTATTAGTGTTTTTAAGGTCAGCATTCAGTTTTATGGTAAGAAACTATTTTATATATAAATTTCTTGAACCATACCATCAGCTTTTGAAACGGCTTGCATATAACATTCTCTTCCTGAAACCAAATAGGCTAGTGGTCAAAGAAATATTCAATATCTCCTATTAAAAAAACAAGTAAAACTGTCTCAAACAATAAAAACAGAATTTCTGTTCATACCACATTAGTGAACAATCCTTACCTGGATAAGCAGTTTCACAGCCCAGGATCTTTGCATATCCAAGGCTCTCCCTCCTTTTTTATTGTTTCATAGTATAGTACACAATTTAACTTTTCATCATTGCATATTGGCAAGGCAGAGAATGTTCACTTTTAAATTCAGTGTTCTTTGGTTAGTAAATATAAAGTTCAACAGTAATGTAAGAACTTTGAGTCATATTGGTATCTCTACACTTCGGTTTAATAGTAATAGTTTGAGGCTCATTCTGTAATCCATAGTGTAAATTTATGAAATATAACATGAAGATGACTTACTATTCATTGTTATATTGTTTATTTACAGTTTACACACACAGGTGACTAAATATATAGGAATTGCCAGTTTTATTTCATTGTCTTAGATACCAAAATTTGAGTGCTGCCATTAAACTTTATTTTATCAGAATAGGCTATGCATAGTTTTAAATGATCAATTTATCATACAAACTTAATATTTGCAGCATGAGCTTGCATGAATATATATAATATTTTTTTGCATTTTAAATATGATTAAGATTGAGACTTTGTAGCTAGTTATATATCTATATAACTGCATGTATGAGTTGTTATATTTATGCCCATTACAGAAAGCAGGACATCTGGAATTTGTTTTTTTTTTATTTCAGAGACATCTAGTTCAAGAGTCTAATGCTCTTGCAGTTTATATTGTATTTGTTTTTCATACAGTTTAGTTATCATGGGCCAGATTTACTAACATACACTTGTAAAGCATCTTCCAGCAGTCATTTACCATCATGTTTATCAGGGATGGTAAAGTGGGATTCACTAAGAGATTGCAACTCGCCTCAACAGTTACAATCCTAAATTGACTAATTTTAAAGGTAGCCAACAGAGGGCTAAAGTACAAGTGCTTATTCACCAAGGAGTTATTAGTCCTACCAATCTCATCTGTTTGCCCTTTTCCTTGATTTTTTTAAAGTACCTTTTGTATAATTTCATTGTCTTTAATATTACCAAGATTCTTTTATTAAAAAATAATAATAATAAATAAATAACCCAACCACCACAGATTTAAGTTCAGTCCCCTGTAGTTTTTTTTTGTGAATTTTATTACATACATATGGCTCCACATGTGCTCAGCCAGCAAGGAGTCTATCAGTAGGCCCTAGTAACCAATCCTTAGTTCCCTATTCTTTGAATTGGTGGGAAAATGTTTTTCTTTTTAGTACTATTAATATGGATGCTGTTATTTTTATTGATGTTATGATTTTTAAATTGTTATTTATAATATTCGTAATATTTAAGGCAATGATACACACACACACACGCTCACACACACGCACATGCACACACACACACACATATATATGTATATAATATACATATATATGTATATAATGTATATATTTCTGTGTGTGAACTGCATCCACTCCAAATCATCCACCGGGGTCCTTACAAAACCTTCAGAATACATTCCTTCCTCTCTCTCAACATCCTCCACTCCATCTCCTCCTCCTCTTCTTCATTATCTGCCCCCTCCTCCTCTATTACTACTATTCCACAATACTACCTCACTCCACACCACTCCCTCTTTCCTTCCCTTGTCCTTCTACTACTTCCATTGCTACATACCTGTAGAGAACTCTTTTTAGCCCAGCCAAGTTTGATCCCCTACAGCCCCTGACTCAGACAATACCTTCCTCTCTCAACAATGTCTCCTAAAACAAGTAGGCAGTGTTTCCTTTTGCGGCCATTCCAATTGTTAATGCCTTGTAAAATTTATATTTGATTGGCCAGACTGAAAATCACCTGATTACCTACCTTGTTGACAGTGCTACTCTATTCCTCCCAGATATTACCATAAATCCTACACCAATATTGCCAAGGTTATCTTCCATAAGCATAACCCCCCATGAAGTTTAAATTGGCAGTGTCCTGCCCTGTCTGAAAAGCACTATCACTCTAAAGCCCAAATTGCTCTGTACTATCACGCATGTGTGCCTGCAAGCTCAAGTCTGATTCAGACTATATCTTACTCTTCCTACCTATTCCAATGCTGTCCTTCACTCCACTCCTTGCCCTTCTTCCCAAGATGTCTCAGTATCTCCCCAGTTTCTCTTCCTCCTACCCTTTACCTCTGCTTCCTCTTCCCTCAGGCAAATTTGTTTTCCAGTCTAAATCCAAATTCTCCAATCTCTGTCACTTTCCTGTTGCCTGCCCCTCCGCACTTTCCCTATTGCAATTAAATGTTCTACTCTATCTCCTTCCACATCCTCTCCTACACCCACCTCTTCCTATGCTCCTCATAAGAAAACCTCCATTTCTCAGACCTCTCCACCCAACTCCCCTCCAGAAACTCTTGAGGATATCCAAAAATTCCTAAACATGACCCAAGAGAATGCTCCTCTCCCTCATCCACCTTCCAATTTCTATTCTTATTCCCTCGAAATTCAAAGTAATTGCCAATATCCATCCTCCTCCTCAAGTTTTCCTTACCCCTCTTCCTCTCCCTCTCCCAGTACACTCCATCCTCACCTTCTCCTTGTGCACCATCCCCTAGTGTTTCCCCATTATCCTTATCACTGCCACCTAGATACAGATGTAACAACAATGTCCATCTTCGGATCCTTCCCTCTTGACATTCTTCGTGATACTTCACCTCCTGCCCCTGTTCCCTAATCTCATTGTTCTCCTTTTACTTCTCCAACATATTACCTGCTGATTGCATCATAATAGCTCTTTTACAGTATTCATCATACAATGTTCCTCTTCCTCCTTCAGACACACTATTCATTTGCTCTTATCGCACTTCACCCTTAACTCTCTTCCCCTTTTACTAATCCCTATCTTGCTCGCCCACTTTACCCTTTTCACTACCATGCTATTATAGTGCTTAATAACCTTTAACATCTAACACATTTAGACCAATCATTAATTCATTTTACCCCCTTTTGCCATGATACTTCACCAAAGTGCTGTATGACCTTTTCCTTACACAGATTCCATATCATTGTTCTAGGTAGTCCATAACTCATGCAATAGTGATAACAATAAGTAACATCTTGTTATTTGTGTCATTTTATAAATTTTTCTGTAGTTTTTAATTTTCTGTAATACAAACTGTGCCGCCGGTCACAGCGGCTAGAAATAGGATATTGAACGTGGAAATAATGTCCTCCTTGCAGCCTGCGCTCTTCCAGTATGCCTTGCAGACAGTACATTTCATACTCATTTATCAATGGAAATAATGCAGAAGCCTCTTCTTAATACTAAATGAGTCTAAGCAAACACTAAGAGCTTTGTTCACTCGTGGTGAGTCATTCCCATCATCTTGGCCTTCAGCCAAAGTGCTTACAATGGCAAGTTTTCATCACCCTGGCCCACAGCCAAATTTTCCAATGTCAGCATGTTCATGTCACCTGCCCCTCAAACCAAATTTTTTCGTAATGTGATGGTCACATCGTCCAGATTGTAGGGGGTAATAGGCGTCGGTTTAGTTATTGTTTGTAAGTTATAAGCATGCCAGAATGAAATTGTATTTTGCTGTAAAATATAGTGATGCTTGCTAGTTTGTAGTTCTTTTGTAGTCTTATTTAAGGTCAAGGCATTGCTTAATATTTGAAAGTTTTTCTTTTTTACTCTTTTGCATTAATGAATTTTGAAATTTTCAGAACCCTTTTGCTTTCAAAAATGGAAGGCGACCTTGGACCTTTGGGGCTGGCACAGCCCTGTACTGATCTCCCAGATATTGCTCAGTTTCTGAGTATTTATATGTCGGAAGAAGATAGTCTTGCACTACAGGAGGGGAAGCAAGTCACTTCTGGCGGTCAGGTGATGCAACATAGTGTCTTCAGTGTTGGAGAGACAGTTCCATCGCCTACAAGGGACAGTGATTTCAGTATTATGTCCCTTGTATCTCACAACCCAAATAGTCAAATGAGTATGTACTTCAGCTCTTTTGTACCTTAGTGTTATGTAATGAATGTGTTGTTTTCACATGCCTTTGTCACACTATGTATGCTACAAATTTATTCTCTCTCTCTCTCTCTCTCTCTCTCTCTCTCTCTCTCTCTCTCTCTCTCCCTCTCTCCCTCTCTCCCTCTCCCTCTCTCTCCCTCTCTCTCCTCCTCTCTTCCCTCCTTCCTCCCTCTTACCTCTTCCTCCTTCCTCCATCCCCCTTCCCCTTCCCCTTCCTCTCCCCCTCCCCCTCCCCCCTCCCCCTCCCCCTCCCCCTCCCCCTCCCCCTCTCCTTCCCTCCCTCCCTCTCTCCCTCCTTCCTCTTTGTTCCCTTCCTTCCTTCCTTCTTTTCCTCCTTCCCTTCCTCCTTCCCTCCCTCCCTCCTAGCAAGGGAGTCCAATTTTCATCATCATCTCTACTTAACCTTTAAGACTTAAAAACTGCAAATCTTTGTTTAGGTGGGAGGATTATCAAGTATGAAACTACTACTACTACTACTATTACTTTTTTTTTTTTTAAGCTTTTAGCTTTCCATTGTTTTTTTGCAGAGTTAGCATTTTTCCCTTTCTTTTTTTCAATCTGAGATCAGATATAGGATGACTTTGGTATTTTGTTTTCTTTTTATCACAATTTATCTTTTACCTTTTATTGATTATTTTGCTTTATTTCTTTTCTCTTCAGCTGAACCCCAGGTGTTTAAGGCCTACCCAATGGCAGCCCCTTTGGCACAAGTTTCAAATCGTGCTCCAGTGCCACCCAAGCCTCAGATACCTGCGAAACCCCAAGAGCAAGGACAGGGAAAGCGTCACGTTTGTGAGATCTGCACTAAATCCTTTTCTCGATCTGATAAGCTAACATTACATAGACGCACCCATACTGGAGAAAAGCCATATGCCTGCTTTTGTGGGAAAAGATTTGCAAGAAGTGATCATTTAAAAATACATGCCCTTAAGCATAAAATTAACCCAGAGGTTCGTCGTGCAATGCTGCTTGAAGCCAAAAATAACAAGCACTTTAGTCCAATTAAAAATTTAGAAGATTTTGACATAAAAAAGGAGACAGTAGAAGCATCTCTGCAAGTGAAAACTGAAGTAAACTTGGCCATTAAACAAGAAATTGGGGAAGGAACAGATCAGGTTAATATACCTGTGTATGATGACCCAAATAAACAGGAGTGTAATGTTTGCCAAAAAGTTTTTGGATCCATTTACAAACTTTCTCGACATTTGCGAACACACACAGGAGAGAAGCCATATGTCTGTTTTTGTGGTGACAGATTTAGTCGCTCAGATGTCCTTCGCATTCATCAAAAATCTAAACATATTCCTTATAGTACAGAGGGCTATGATCAGCATACAGGTCAAGCAATGGCCCAAGTGGCACCAATAACACCAAAGCCCAAGGTCAAGAAGACCCCAAAGGTTATGAAGTCTGATGGGATATATACATGTGAATATTGTGCTAAGGAGTTTAAAGCTGGATATAAGCTCACAGTTCACTTAAGATATCATACAGGAGAAAAGCCTTATGTGTGTGACTTCTGTGGGAAGGCTTTTGCACGCAGAGACCATATGAAAAAGCACAGAAAATCTTATTATACAGGGTGGTTCAAAAGAAATGTTACCCAGATTACATTATATATTTGTTACACATATATTATAGGCTGTACATATGCATTTAAGACATGATATACAGCAGTTATTTTTAGGGTTAGATAAAAAGTAATCATAATATGAAGGTCTGGCAGTATTGGAGGCTATATGTTTTAAGGAAAATTGTCAAAAAAAATCATCAGGAAGACAATAGTTTCCTTTGATGTGTGATTTGGTACCACTTGCAAGCACATCCTTAATAAGAAGTCTAATAAACTGTCATTATATATTGGTGTACATGACCATTCACTGTTGTCGTAAAGAAAATGGGCTCACTGCATGCCTTCCTTAAAGTACACCATACTCTCATTTTTTGTGGTTGCAGGGTTTTTCCTTACAATGGATTTTCACTGCCCCACATATTACTGACTTAACATAGTTAACATAGGAACCTGCTTTTTGTTAATTATGTTAACTCCTCCCCCTTAAAGTTTTGGAACAGCATTCAATACTGGAACCCTAGCTGTTTTACATGTTGAACCACATAAACTCCTCTCAATTTGTCAGCAATTTTCTGTGCACTAGAATAAGACATTGTGTTAAATTTGGAAGCTAACAAACATTCTCTGGTTTTCCTCTAACTAATCTAAAATCTTCACCTTTTTCATTTGGCAACACATGGTCGTCCACTTTGTTTTCTGTTATGTTCAACTCCACTTGCATGAAAATGGGCCACTGGGGAAGCTCAGGAGATCATCCTTGAAATCATCTTTTTAATTGTGCAAGGTAATGTTTAGGAATAAAGACACTGCACTTAGGGAAAACATGAAGTTGTAGTTACTCCTTTGATTGCATAGGAGAAAAGCTGGGATATCATCATATCAGCGGCAGCATCTATGCGAGAAAATAAAATTGCAGCCTAATTTCAATTATTTCAAAATGGGTAACATTTTCTTTTTGAATCGCTCTTGCAGTCTCAGTCATTTGGAAATCAGTAATTTCAAATGAAGTAAGTGAACTCTGTGTATGTATGTTTGTATGTATTTGGTCTGTTACTTTTTATTATTATTATTTAGTTTGTCCTTTTTTTTTTTCCTATTGTTCCCTTCCTTCCTTCCTTCTTTTCCTCCTTCCCTTCCTCCTTCCCTCCCTCCCTCCTAGCAAGGGAGTCCAATTTTCATCATCATCTCTACTTAACCTTTAAGACTTAAAAACTGCAAATCTTTGTTTAGGTGGGAGGATTATCAAGTATGAAACTACTACTACTACTACTACTACTACTACTACTACTATTACTTTTTTTTTTTTTTTTTTTAAGCTTTTAGCTTTCCATTGTTTTTTTGCAGAGTTAGCATTTTTCCCTTTCTTTTTTTCAATCTGAGATCAGATATAGGATGACTTTGGTATTTTGTTTTCTTTTTATCACAATTTATCTTTTACCTTTTATTGATTATTTTGCTTTATTTCTTTTCTCTTCAGCTGAACCCCAGGTGTTTAAGGCCTACCCAATGGCAGCCCCTTTGGCACAAGTTTCAAATCGTGCTCCAGTGCCACCCAAGCCTCAGATACCTGCGAAACCCCAAGAGCAAGGACAGGGAAAGCGTCACGTTTGTGAGATCTGCACTAAATCCTTTTCTCGATCTGATAAGCTAACATTACATAGACGCACCCATACTGGAGAAAAGCCATATGCCTGCTTTTGTGGGAAAAGATTTGCAAGAAGTGATCATTTAAAAATACATGCCCTTAAGCATAAAATTAACCCAGAGGTTCGTCGTGCAATGCTGCTTGAAGCCAAAAATAACAAGCACTTTAGTCCAATTAAAAATTTAGAAGATTTTGACATAAAAAAGGAGACAGTAGAAGCATCTCTGCAAGTGAAAACTGAAGTAAACTTGGCCATTAAACAAGAAATTGGGGAAGGAACAGATCAGGTTAATATACCTGTGTATGATGACCCAAATAAACAGGAGTGTAATGTTTGCCAAAAAGTTTTTGGATCCATTTACAAACTTTCTCGACATTTGCGAACACACACAGGAGAGAAGCCATATGTCTGTTTTTGTGGTGACAGATTTAGTCGCTCAGATGTCCTTCGCATTCATCAAAAATCTAAACATATTCCTTATAGTACAGAGGGCTATGATCAGCATACAGGTCAAGCAATGGCCCAAGTGGCACCAATAACACCAAAGCCCAAGGTCAAGAAGACCCCAAAGGTTATGAAGTCTGATGGGATATATACATGTGAATATTGTGCTAAGGAGTTTAAAGCTGGATATAAGCTCACAGTTCACTTAAGATATCATACAGGAGAAAAGCCTTATGTGTGTGACTTCTGTGGGAAGGCTTTTGCACGCAGAGACCATATGAAAAAGCACAGAAAAATTCATACAAAGTGAAATAGCTGGGAAAGATTGTTCAGAATGCTTCGGAATCCATCAGAAGAACGCGATACTGATCTTTTAGCAAAACTGAAAGTCCAGATAGCATAATCAGAGATATTTTTATAGCTAATTGATATACTATACAAAACCATTTCAAGTAGAATAATTTATTGTCTTCTGCATTATCAGACTGTTTTACTACTGATAAGTGGCATCACTATGAAGACATGAATGTAACCTATTGATTTTTATGAAGGAATGTAAGCTAATAATTTATATGCACAATTATTTATAGAGTTCACCTCTGCTGGTTATTAAAACAGGGTTACAGCTTAACTTTTAGCATAAATTATATAAGACTAAAGTAGATCTCTTAAACATAAGATGGAGGGACATTTTTGTAAGCTTGATATTACCAGTATCAGTTGAAGAACTATTGCTTTTTTTTTTCTTTTTTTTAAGATTTCAAATAATGGCTTAGGTGTCATACAGTGTAGTTCACTTTTATGTATTTCTGGCCATTTCCATAATCACTTTTTAACTTTTCATGTATATCTTTTGTAACCATGACTATGAACTGGAACTTGTAAAATGTAAATTCCTTATTTTTTGTACTTTTTTTTAATGTAAATGTTGTGAATGATTTTCTAAGTACTACTGTTAAAGTATATACCTGTTTTGGTACAAATAACAAGAAATGCAACAGTTTCGTATTGAAATTGTAACATATATTCTACTCATTTATAAATTGATGTAATTTTGCCCAGTTTTCTTCCCAGTGAAAGCATTAATAAATAGTGTTAAGTTGATAAGCCCCAGTAGTATATTTGGTTCTCTTTTATTTTTGCTTCAAGTTTCTCATCTAAAATCACATGAAAATCTTATTATACAGGGTGGTTCAAAAGAAATGTTACCCAGATTACATTATATATTTGTTACACATATATTATAGGCTGTACATATGCATTTAAGACATGATATACAGCAGTTATTTTTAGGGTTAGATAAAAAGTAATCATAATATGAAGGTCTGGCAGTATTGGAGGCTATATGTTTTAAGGAAAATTGTCAAAAAAAATCATCAGGAAGACAATAGTTTCCTTTGATGTTTGATTTGGTACCACTTGCAAGCACATCCTTAATAAGAAGTCTAATAAACTGTCATTATATATTGGTGTACATGACCATTCACTGTTGTCTTAAAGAAAATGGGCTCACTGCATGCCTTCCTTAAAGTACACCATACTCTCATTTTTGGGGGTTGCAGGGTTTTTCCTTACAATGGATTTTCACTGCCCCACATATTACTGACTTAACATAGTTAACATAGGAACCTGCTTTTTGTTAATTATGTTAACTCCTCCTCCCCCTTAAAGTTTTGGAACAGCATTCAATACTGGAACCCTAGCTGTTTTACATGTTGAACCACATAAACTCCTCTCAATTTGTCAGCAATTTTCTGTGCACTAGAATAAGACATTGTGTTAAATTTGGAAGCTAACAAACATTCTCTGGTTTTCCTCTAACTAATCTAAAATCTTCACCTTTTTCATTTGGCAACACATGGTCGTCCACTTTGTTTTCTGTTATGTTCAACTCCACTTGCATGAAAATGGGCCACTGGGGAAGCTCAGGAGATCATCCTTGAAATCATCTTTTTAATTGTGCAAGGTAATGTTTAGGAATAAAGACACTGCACTTAGGGAAAACATGAAGTTGTAGTTACTCCTTTGATTGCACAGGACAAAAGCTGGGATATCATCATGTCAGTGGCAGCATCTATGTGAGAAAATAAAATTGCAGCCTATTTTCAATTATTTCAAAATGGGTAACATTTTCTTTTTGAATCGCTCTTGCAGTCTCAGTCATTTGGAAATTAGTAATTTCACATGAAGTAGTGAACTCTGTGTATGTATGTTTGTATGTATTGGTCTGTTACTTTTTATTATTATTATTTAGTTTGTCTTTTTTTTCTTTTAGTAATATGTTGATGAAGATTGGAAAATCATCAGGAAGACAATAGTTTCCTTTGATGTTTGATTTGGTACCACTTGCAAGCACATCCTTAATAAGAAGTCTAATAAACTGTCATTATATATTGGTGTACATGACCATTCACTGTTGTCTTAAAGAAAATGGGCTCACTGCATGCCTTCCTTAAAGTACACCATACTCTCATTTTTGGGGGTTGCAGGGTTTTTCCTTACAATGGATTTTCACTGCCCCACATATTACTGACTTAACATAGTTAACATAGGAACCTGCTTTTTGTTAATTATGTTAACTCCTCCTCCCCCTTAAAGTTTTGGAACAGCATTCAATACTGGAACCCTAGCTGTTTTACATGTTGAACCACATAAACTCCTCTCAATTTGTCAGCAATTTTCTGTGCACTAGAATAAGACATTGTGTTAAATTTGGAAGCTAACAAACATTCTCTGGTTTTCCTCTAACTAATCTAAAATCTTCACCTTTTTCATTTGGCAACACATGGTCGTCCACTTTGTTTTCTGTTATGTTCAACTCCACTTGCATGAAAATGGGCCACTGGGGAAGCTCAGGAGATCATCCTTGAAATCATCTTTTTAATTGTGCAAGGTAATGTTTAGGAATAAAGACACTGCACTTAGGGAAAACATGAAGTTGTAGTTACTCCTTTGATTGCACAGGACAAAAGCTGGGATATCATCATGTCAGTGGCAGCATCTATGTGAGAAAATAAAATTGCAGCCTATTTTCAATTATTTCAAAATGGGTAACATTTTCTTTTTGAATCGCTCTTGCAGTCTCAGTCATTTGGAAATTAGTAATTTCAAATGAAGTAAGTGAACTCTGTGTATGTATGTTTGTATGTATTTGGTCTGTTACTTTTTATTATTATTATTTAGTTTGTCTTTTTTTTCTTTTAGTAATATGTGATGAAGATTGGATCCTTTGAAAAATAGTGATAAATCTTTTTGGGCAAGTATTTTCTTGCAAAAGGATTATATATCTTTGAGATATATTTATTTAGGCAGTCACCTAGCCATTTTTGAAATCAAGTCTCTCAATTATCTGAAATGACAGGTGAAGTTAACTTCAAATTTTGCTTCAGTTATCCAGCTAATACTAACCACCACTAACCTAAGCTTACTTTGGAGGAATGTTATTGTATCCTTCAGAATGGCCCTGAAGAGGTACATCAGAGGTCAGCATAGGAAGCAGTGCAGACAGGTCATTAAAACTTTTTTTCCCATCTTCTTATTTGAAGGGATTATATCCTTTGATATTCTTGAGTTTGAAGATTCCTTTATGTATATTTGTCATGTAATGAGTGGACATTACAGTGAGGAAACCGTTGGAATGAATCTGTCTAATTTATCTTCTGAGACAAGGGAAAGTATTTGCTAACATCTTTTCAGTCTAGTGGAAGAGTTCATTTTTGAACTTAGATGAATATAGTGAAGCATGAGAAGAAAATGTATATTCATATCTTTATTTATATATGTATATATAACTTTTTTTTACTTTGAAAGTCCAGCAGTGAAGTATAATTAAAAAATATTCTTTATAAAATACTATTTCTACATAGTACAATTATCACACGACTACACATGGAAGTGTAAGAACTGGCAGATTGTAACAGAGTATAACAACTTAATATTGTCATCTTTTCATGGGTCTACATATAATAATGAATTATATAGTTAATGTTCCCATTTGTGCCATCTATGCAGTGTTGATCTCTCCCGATGGGAGAATGTTTGATTTTTTTCTTTTGGAATAAAGAGAGAAAACTCTAATAACTGGTCATTATGGTATGGAATCTCCTTCTAGGAAAAATAGAATCATATATTACTTTATCCCAAAATTATTTTTTAAAACATCAATTTGGTATAAAAGAAAACATTTTATTAATGCATTACATGTTTAGATTAAACAGTTCAATAAGTTGGCAAGGGTCCAATTATTGTATATAATATACTGTATTACATTTCCTTGCAAAGCTTATCAAAAGGTTCTGATTTCAAAAAGAGCTTCCAGACTAAAGCTAATGAAATAAATGTAGATATTTTAATTGGTAATTTATTTAAAATCAAGTGAAAACATGTGGGATATTTACATGTGCACTGATACAATTATGTTTCTACAATGAAATGCACTAATATCAGTTTGATAAGCTTACTTTTGTATACTTAAAAAAAAACTGTACAGTATACACTGATAACTGGCTTTCAATATATTATATGTATTACCATTTGTTGAGGAGTGCTATACATATGGCTAGGTAATAACTGAAAACTTTATACCTTGTGGGTGCAAAGATGACAAATAATTTTGAACCCAGTGTATTGGGCATATTGTCCCTGTTATTATAAGAATTGGCATGACCTGTTGTTGCAGCATTGTAATGCCAGTATTTGTTAACTGTTTCCATCAATAGTAAAATGATGAAAAGCTCAGATATTTGCTGTTGACCCAGTGAGCAATAGCTAGTCATAAGAATACTCTTTAAATATATACTCTAGTCATAGCTGTACTCTATTTGTAGTTATGGATAAAAAATAGTGCCTTGCCTAGTTTTTCCCATTTTTTATTTTTATTTATTTTTTAATTAAAATATCAATATTGGTAATTTTGTAATATGTACTATGACAGTACATGCTGATAACTGGATTTCTATAAAATAAAAGTTGGGAAAACTTGCAAGGTATTATTGCCTATAGCATGGTTGATATACTTGTAGATAATTTACCCATGAAATGGTACGATTGATATACTCAGCATTCCAGAGTTGCGTGGTACAAAACCAAAAGCAATGCCTATTTTTTATTTTCCTGGGACTAGGGATTATGGATATTGTCTTCATCCGACAATTTTCTTGACAAAGTGGTAATTCAAAATTAATGAATAAAGAAAAGTTAAATGCTTAATAATCCCATGATCTTTAGTCATTGATCAATACTGACTTGTGCTTAGTAAGTTCTTGATGCTGAGATACACAGTAATAGTTATGCATACAATCAGAAATATGTACATAAACCTCAGTTTTTTTTAAATTAAAAATGTTGATATTGCTTAACAGTGGATACACTGGTCGCTTCCATGAGAGTGAAGTATAGTGCCACATCTTGTCTTGGGAGACTGACTGTAAGATATATAAATGCAAAGTTTGCATTAGGATATTATTTACAGGCAGTTGGATTTATCTTGACAAGAGGATAATTTGTATAATTATAAATATACTGTGTTTTCTCTCAAGGAATCCTGTTGTAATGCAATACATTTTTTTTACTGTATTAAGAAAATATAGTAAAAAAAATGGTTAATACAATGTTTATTGTAGGTTTAAAAATAGGTTGTATGGTTTGTAAGGGTACTGATTTCCACTTTATGTAGAAATTTTGTAATATATAGTGTTAAAGCATTGACAATTGCTTTGCAATTCTGTTAAAAGACAGTTATTATGAAAGATTTTGGTGCATTAAAAAAATTACTGCAAGGGTTGGTTTACATATCAATTTACATAAAAAATGTAGATCTGTACTGTTTCTTTACTATCAGTACTTACAACCTGTTAGCTTCATGCAGTTTCATAATTTAGTGATTATGCAGCTTGTAATTTTAGGCCTATGTGTAGAGATTACTGTAATAAGTTTGATATTTGTATAGAATGACATTAAATAAAATGTTTTTTTTCCATTAGTATTTTTCATTACAATAGATAAACCAGAGAATTGGACCTAAAAGGAATATTTTGTCCTCAAAACTGCATGGTTATTGTTTGGAACAAATGTAGAACTGCTACCTTTCTTATTAGCCATCAACTACTCCCAGAAGCACAAAGGGTTGGTAGTACCTGTTGGAAACTGTTTATTAGAATTCTTGACAGTTCCGTGGGTAGCAGTAAATCATGATGATATATTTTTAACAAATTTCCACATGCCCCACCCTAATTACATCACTACTAAAGTGGCTTGATGCGAGACACTTGTGGTATCCATGCAACAACAGTAAATCTTAGGCTTAAATGATGAATACAAAATGTAGTAGTCCACAGGAGAAATTGGGAAGCACCTAAAAAACAACACACATGAAATTGTGGTAATTAATCATTTGGACTTGGCTAATGAATTTGTGGAAATTAATCAATCTCAATTTATTAATATAACAAAACTGCTGTGGCTGTAATGAGTAACTTCTTTGCTGATTCATGTACCTAATGGAAACTGGTACCTAAAAACAAGAGAGTTAATGAAATTCTTCTAAAATCAATTACCTACTGAACTATACATTCCCCCCTTTTTTTTTTTTTACCTTGTAACTGTATCTTGCTTATTTATTTCCAAGAGGAGTCTTTTAAAACTAGCCTAACCCAAACACGATTTATTTCCCAGATATCTTGACATAGATATACAGTAAAGACAGTATGACAAGTAACATACTGTATATATTTGCCTTCCTCCACTCGGTCCAAAGGGATGTGTCCAATACTAAGTTACTCCCATAACCAAATTCTCTGGGC